ATTAACTCCTTGTACCAATAATATTTGGTTAGTACTAGTTTTTTAATATAGTAATATTAATAAATAAAAAAAAGTAAAGATTTTATGTGGTTATGTGATGATGTCTTTCTCTATCTCTACCTGTATAAAAATTAGTTAATGAAAAATATTTTTCAATATTATTGTCTTTATTATAAGAAATGCCACAACTTTTCTCATCTTATAGCTATTAATAATAAAAAATAATTTATTTTATAGAAAAATATTTTTTAATACATTCAAATAATATATTTTTCTAGAAATATTTTTTTCATAGTAAAATATTTTCCCTAATAAATAATTCTGTAAAACAAACGGATCGTAATGTGAACAAGAAAGAACCCAACAAGCTAACCATTTAAGAAGCTGCACTGAATGAAGGGAACTTAAGCTAGCTTACGTTAATATTCTCCAGCTCTTTCAATGGAAGCTGTAAAATTAACTTTAAGCCATCAAAATCGGTGTTGATTTTGTACTTAAACCTCTGTGGTATGTGGAAATCTTCCGAGTATATATCGCAATAACATCCCATGTGCATTGATACCATATATAATGGATATATAGCTAAAGAAAGGTCATTATCACAGAAGTAGGAGAAGATAATATGGAGTTCAGAACTTAATAGTCCAAGACTATTAGGGCACGCCCTGTCAGTCTTTGAGTAATAATTATCGTTGAATGACTGTCCTCCTTAGTTTATAACACCAAGTTATCCCCATGTATCTCTCTTTGTTTCTTGATGAAATTCGGTAGACTTTGCAGGGTGGTGCTTCCGCGATATGTCGTTGGTTTTCCCCATCTTTTGCACTAGGAAAGCCATATATGGGCTAGGGTTAGGTATAGAGCCATGACTAAATGTTCTGAGGCTGTAAACACTTGAAAACAACATCTGCAATATAGTACACACTTCGGCATGTGGGAACTTTTTTTGGTCTGGGGACTTTGAACATTATTGGAGGCACAAATTTAATACATGATGTGTACATTTGAAGCAGAATCTTTATCTTTGATTATGATCTATAAAGTAAGAGTTGTCAATTGCTCTCTTGCACGCATGCAACCGTCAATGGCCCCAGATTGAATAACACATGTAACGGTCAATGCTACAAGGATGATGATATCTAAAGCCAAACAATCTCTGTGTTCAGTTCTTTGTGGAGTCAGATTGAACACAAGATTGGCATTCGAGACTTCATTTTCAATCTGTTTCATGAACTGTAAATGCTTGATGAATGATTGAAATCATGCTTGAACTTGACAACTCCATTGTTTAGTCACTTTCCAGATCATGCATCTAGAGATTGTTACGTTTTTCTGCTTGCTGCTTTCTCCGAGTTCTAACAATAATCGAACTGAGTCAACTCCACCTCTTGCACAGTCTGTGCTAGCCGGTTGACCAACTGATGCAGTATCTGGAATTGCAGGAGTTTTCATAGAATTGATTAGATTTTTAATTTCTTGTGATGGTATGGCGTACTGAACATGTTATTCACTATTGATGTGTTTTTGGAATTGAAAAGGGGTTAGTGATTTTTAATTGTTCTTCCTTATGCAGGAGCTAGAACTGTAAGAGCTTTCATATAATCATGATCTTTCTTTTAATAGTTTATTTACATAATATATTATGGTGATATATAGTTAAATTTTATTTATTTTTAAAACAAGGATTTATTTTACCTAGAGTTTTACTAATATTTAAAGGAATGCCACTATTTCTTAAAAAAAAAAAAACTTTGATATTTTTATAGTTTTATAAAGATTTTTTTCCTCTAGCTACAGCCAGACTATGGCTGTGGTAGTTGTCTCTTGCCTCTCTTTTTCTTTCCCCTACATCACTAACCCTTATCCATGGCTAACGCCTGTAGCTCGGCCTGTTTTCTTTGAGTCCAAACCCTATTTTACTAACTTGGGCTAGGTCTAATCTCTTAGAAAGGCTTGGGAAGTTAAGCTAGGTTTGGAAAAGCTAGCCTAACCCATCATAATACAGGAATGCAGATGCTCCACAGCAATTTG